CTGGCATTTGTATTATCAGTAATAGTTAGGCTGTGGTTTTTTGGATTTTTTGATGTATATATAATACATAGCATCTGAGAAAAATAATAGTTTTTTTCCTCAAAACTCTTGTGTCTTGTATTTATCTGTCTTCCTTATTTCACTGGATAGACCCTCCAGTACAGTATTGACTAGAAGTGTAGACTTGCTCCTAATCTCAAAGAAAAATCCTTTTAAAAAAATAATTATTTATATATTTTAATTGGCAAATGAAACTATATATATATTTATCATCTAAAATATGTTGTTTTGAAATATGTAAGGCTGGGCATGTTGGTGCATGCCTGTAGTCCAAGCTACTCCGGAGGCTGAGGTGAGAGGATTGCTTGAGCCTGGGATGTTGAAGTTTCAGTGAGCTATGATTGCATCACTGCACTGGAGCCTGGATAACAGAGCAAGACCCTGTCTCAAAAATAAACAAAAAGAAACATATATATATATACATTGTGGAATGGCTAAATCAAGCTAATTAAAATATGCACCAAAGGAACATGTTTTAATATTTTATCAGGTAGTATAAGACTTGCTGAGAATTTTATGTTGATATATTTTATCAAAATAAAGGAGTTTCTTTCTATTTCTTGGTGCAAAGAAAATATATATTGAATTTCACCTAATGCTTTTTCTGCATCAACCAAGATGGTCATTTAATTTTCTTATTTAGCATGTAAATGTAGTGAATCATATTAATTTATTTTCAGTAAATATATTTTTATTCAACGCTTGCTAACTACATTTTTTTTTTTCAGGTTCCAGACTTAAGCAATTAACTGCAGCAGGAAAGAGCAGAACATGAGTGACTGGGGCCTGAAATGTACCTACTCAAATGACCAAAAAAGTTTTGAAACTTCCCTCCCACTCTAAGCGCTGAAAGGAGGCTGTAGTTGAGTTGGGATTCAAGTGGTCTGAAAACAGGTTTCCATTCTGGAAGCACTTTTCAGTGGGGTCAGGGGGCTCCAAGACCAAGTACTGAGGAATCCTAATGGACAGGTAACATCAAGGACAAAGGTCTTCAGCAGAATCGGAACCCTTAAAAGTGCAGGATCAGGACACCAGTTGGGATATGTGGGTGAGGGCAGGAGGAAGGGAACTGACAAGAACAAGGCAGAGACCCAGTCCAAAACTGGGACAGCAGCACGAACTTGTGACCAACACTGCAATCATAGGAAAATGTGAATTATTAGAACAGAACACTACTTCAGAATCTGAAAAACAGTAAAAATGACCCAGAGAGATGTAATTGGCGCTACTTAAATCTCTGATCTCACATGAGGAATGATTTTAGGAGCTGGAAGTAGGACTGTACTTTGCAAAGACGGATCAAGTAGTGCCAGGTGGAGGAATGTGGAGGCAGTGGGGGGTGAGATAGAATGGGCTGCCTGAAAAACTTCAAATCCCTAGAAAAGTAGGCCTGGACATGGTTTGAACCTCAGACCTAGAAAACATAAGAGAGAGAGAGAAGTCGCTTGAGTTTGGTCCCATTAGCCTAACCCAATTCTTTCCAGTGGAAGCTAATTCATTCAAAGCCCAGTGCCACAGAAAACCAGTTCCCTCAATAAACTATGAATTAAGAACATGTCCCTTGCACACCAGCGAATCCACCTGGCTCATGGTAGACTCAATACATGTTTGTTGAGTATGTTCTTAAACTAGCTGGAATTTTCTGGATACCTTTCTTTTTTTCTCTTTGCTTTCTGGACACACTTTGTTTTTTCTTTTTGTTCCTCAATTTCTTCCTCTACCAAAGGAGGGGGTTAGGCTAGATTAACTCTAAGATCTCCCTTAACTTTGTCTTCCTTCATTCCTAGTGCTCTGCATTCTTCCAGGCCTTCATCACTGCTGACTTTTGCAGATCTCCTAGCTGGGATCTCTGCTTTCTGCCTTGCCTGTCCTACTGCTGTTTGAGCTCTCTCTAACATCTTAATCTATGTTACTTCTTTCCTGAAACCTTTCAAACACCATCCTCTGTGGGCCAAAAACCAAACTCCTGAACCTGCCACATTAGGCCCTGCATGTGCCAACCTCTGGAGTCCTCTCTTTTGTCCAGTGACTTACCTCACATGGCACCCTTCACTTTTGAGCCACCTTGAACAACTTAGAGTTCTCCAGATGTCTCTAATGACCTTTATTGTTCTATAAAATGGGCATATTTATAAGGCTGTCATTGAAAAATAAGAAATGTGGAAAAGTCTAAATGACCTATTTAGATAACTAATTATCTATTAACATTTCAAATGTTTAGACTGATGGATCCTGAGTATGTAAGTCAGCTTGGGCTGCTACAACAAAATACCACAGGCTGGGTGGCCTGAACAAAAGACATTTATTTCCCATAGTTCTGGATGCTGGAAAGTCCAAGATCAAGATACTGGCAGATTTGATGTCTGGTGAGAACTCACAGCCATCTCTATGTGGTGCTCTCACATAGCAGAGAGGGAGAGCATGCACCTGAGCCAACAGGCATGTCTCCCGGTGTTTCTTCTTATAATCCCACCATAAGGGCCCCATCCTCATGACTTCATCTAAACCTAATTACTTCCACAAGGCCCTATCTCCAAATATCATCACATGGGAGGTTAGGGCTTTAACAGATGAATTTGGGGGTGGGGTAAGACATAATTCAGCCCATAACGCTGGGCAAAGGGAAGATGGTTGATATAGGCTTTTGTTTGATATCGGCTCCAGTAAAACATCTGTGGCACCAGGAAGTTCATGTTCAAAACAAGGTATTCTGTGTGTAAACAACTATCTCCTTTTTCAGGAGGCTGAGGCGCAAGGATCGCCCGAGCCCAGGTAATTGAGGTTACAGTGAGCTGTGATCGCACATTGCACTCCAGCCTGGGCTACAGAGTGAGACCCTGTCTCTAAAAAACAACACAAAACCAACCAACTGAACAACAACAAAAAAAAAACTATCTATTTTTGGGGCGTTCAGGAGGGTGGTTGGAATAGAGAAGAAAGTTGGGGATTGTTGGGAAATCAGGAGGGAGAGACAGGCAAAAGCCAGTTCAAGGAGGGGTCCTGTATTTACCAAAAAAAAAAAAAAAGAGTGAATTATAACTCGTGAATGAATAAGACCATGAGAAAACAGTTTCACTGATACACTCTGATGTGATTGGCTGTTAGATTTAAGAGCTATTTCAATTCTCCCCCAGTGATCTTACTTTCGGGAATTTATCCTAAGAAAATAATCCAAAAGATTAGTAGAGGTATGTGTCCAAAGATATTTCTTACATTACTTATGATGATGAAAACTGGAAGCAACTCATTTTGGAATACTTAAGTACTTATTAACTAAAGAGTTGCTGAATGAACCAATAAATGCTTGTTGAGTATAAAGCGACAATGAAAACTGTGAAGTCCAGGTTCACAGAATGGAAAAAATCTATGAAGTAAAATAAACAAAATATAAAATCATAGCTACATAACACTACAACTATATAAATACAGTGAAAAAACAGGCAACACTAGACGTAAATATAGATTAAATGACAGCAGACTATTCGTTAGAGTGGCGTAATTATGTGCCACTAAGATATTATGCTTAAAAAGACACTGCCTTTTTGAAAATAAAAAAACAACCAGTCCTGCACAAGGTAATCTGGCTGGCTGGTCAGCAGCACAGTCTCACAAAGTAGCCTCTGTTTGTCCCAGCCTGAATCAACACTTGGCTTTCAGCAACACAAGTGAATTGATGAAATATTTGGAGTCTATACAGTGGAAAGAAGTATTTGTTTTATAATGAAGCACAGAACAATGGTAACTGGGGAAGCAGGGTGAAGGAGGAAGAGGATTTGAACTGCTAAATGAACTACACGCTTCAGGCCAAAGCATCCATTATCACCCACATGCAAGATGAGAAAGAGTCCTTGTTTGTAAATAAACGAAAGGGATCCTAAACCATCAGAGGACTCCCGAGGGGAACTGTGCTTACCCTCGCTTAGAGCAAATACTGAAGAGAAAGAGTAGGTATTTGGCAACAGTTGTGACATTACTGGATTTATAACTCCTCTAGTAACACGTTTCCTCAAAGTAGAGTTTTCAAACTTCAGAGCTGGATAAGGGGACTAAAGTTTAAAGGGATAGGCGATTAAGCCAAGGTCATATAGTCAGTATACAGCACGGGAATACAGACATGGACTGCTGGTCACACAGACTGCGTGTCAAACTCCAGAGCTGCCCCTTCCGAGCTATGTCTCAATCAAGCATCCCCTCAAACAGTTATTAAGACAATGTGTGTCTCCAACAAGTCACTTGGTCTTGCCTGGCACCAATTTTCTCACCTGTAAAACAGTACGAGGCCTCTGCTGTGCTCCTCTGTGGCTGTCCACCCACCTCACCCTTCTTCAAAACACCCAGAAGAGCCATCTGTCACCAACTCTCAGCCCACGGACTCTGAATAGGCCCTGGGCCCATGAGCACATCATATTCTCAGGGACTTCGGTACTGGCTCAGGAAGGATGTGGGACCTGATGACAGGTGCTGAGGGGTGAGATCGGGGCAACGACGGAGGAGGCAGCATCCTCCTCCCCACTGGATCTGAAGCTGAACAGAGGGAAAGGCTTGAGCTCCTATGACCTCCATCTTGGCCAACACACACACACAAAGAACAGAGCCAAGAGATGAGGGATGAAGAACGTGGGTCTCGGAGACAGCACAAGTTATTTCTGAAGCCAGCTTCACCTTTCTGGTTGTTGAGCCAATACATTCCTTTTTCTCTGTTGGTGTTTGTTTTCCCTAAGCTAGTTTGAGGGTTTTTTTCTTTCAATAGCTTTTGGAGTATAAGTGGTTTTTGGTTACATGGATGAGTTACATAGTGGTGAATTCTAGGATTTTACTGTGCTCTTTTTTGCTTAAGATAGGTAGATTTCCAGCTGGGTGTGGTGGCTCATGCTTGTAATCCCAGCACTCTGGGAGGCTGAGGGAGGGCAGATCATCTGAGGTCAGGAGTTTGAGACCACCTGGCCAACATGGTGAAACCCTGTATCTATAAAAAATACAAAAGATAGCTGGGTGTGGTGGCACATGCACGTAATCTGAGCTACTTGGGAGGCTGAGGCAGAAGAATCACTTGAACCCGGGAGGCGGAGGTTGTGGTGAGCCAAGATCATGCCATTGTACTCCAGCCTGGGTGACAGAACAAGAGCAAGACTCCATTTAAAAAAAAAAAAAAAAAAAAAAAAAAGTTGTATTTCCTTTCATGTGCAACCAAAAGTCTCTGAGCATCTCCCTTATAGACAGAGAATGCAGGTACAAGTGCCAAGCCTAGCACCTGGCACATGGTAGTTAACAAATGCTGACTTCACTTTCTTCTCTGTCTTCCTCACTAGGATTCCATTTCTTTTTTTCTTCACTTCTTCTTTCTTCACCAAGTTTCCTCCTTCCTTTAGGGCTCTAACCCTACAAATCCTCTTTTCCTGGAAGCACAAAAATAAGCAGTTTTCTCTTCCTCCTTGTAAAACTCTGCCAGCTAAGACTCTGGCATAAGCCTCAGTGAGCTCTGCTCTTGGCCCCAACATCCCCATTGCACACTTCTTTGAAATCAGATCCCATTAATCAGAACTCCTCACACTCATACAATATTTTATCAGGGGCACCTGCTGACTGGTGTCTCTAAAGCTCAAATCATTGTACTTTATCCTTTCCATTCAACAAATATCCTATTGACCCCCTACTACGTGCCAAGCACTGCACGAGGCACTGAGGATGGAACTATGAATGATACCGGCACAATTAAGCCCTTCAAAGGGCTGCGGGTATGAAGGGAGGGAAGTCAGAGGAAGCATTTGTGATACATGCATCTAGGTTATGACAGTGGAAGAATGAGGCTTATGGAAGCACACAGTAGGGGAGCTTAGCCCAATCAGGATTTTCTGTGTAATAAATCAGTAAGTCACAACAATAAGCACTTATTTTTCTCATTTGTCAGCCCATGATTTTCTGGGGAGCTCCACTTAAGTTGCAGGTTGGCTAAACTTGCTTCAAGATTCATATTAGGGCCAGATGCCTTCCACGTGTCTTCACATTTTCGCTAAACCAGCAGCTATTCCCTCTCTCTCTCTCTCTCTCTTTCTCTCTCTCTCTCTCTCTCTCTGTGTGTGTGTGTGTGTGTGTGTGTGTGTATGTGTGCACGTGTGTGCTTTCCATAGGACCACAAGAGGTCAAGCCAAAATTTCTCAAATGCGTTTAAGGCCTTTGCTTGTGGCCCATCTTATAACATGCCATTGGCCAAAGTTAAGTCATTAGCTAAGGCTAACACCAGGTAGGTTGAGACATACACTACAACCTCTCTCACTGCAGCAAAGACACAAATCAGAAGGGTGATAAATAACTGGGAACAATATTCAATCTACTACACCATTCCTGGTCTCTACAAACCCCTCTTAGCTGTCACCCATTTCTTTGTACCTCTTTAAAACAAAATCTCTGTGACAGAATTATTTGTATCCACAGTGTCATTCATTCAGCACTCTCTAAGCAATCTTTCTTTCCCAACCTCCAACTGAAGCTAACCTTGTCAAGGTTGCCAATGGCTTCTATCTTGCCAATGGCCAAATTTCACCTTAGCCTACCTTTCAGGAGAATCTGACACAGTTGATCTCTTTATCTCTTTTTGGAGGCTTTCTATTCTTGGCTTTCAGACACCATCATCTGCGATTTTCCTGATTCCATTGGCCTCTTCTCAGTATTGTTTGCTATTTTCTCTTTCTTTTTCTGACCTCTAAATATTGAAATGCTTTGGGGTTTGGACTTTGGATTTCTTTCCATCTGTATCTTCACTCACAATATGTAAACATGGGTTATGTTCAAATTTATATCTTCAGGTTCATCCTCTTCCATGCAACTGAGAAGTGTATCCAGTTGCATGCCTGACATCTTTATTCTTGGATGTCTAATAACCTTTTTGAACCTAACATGTCTAAAACAGAATACTTGCCCCCCTACTCATATCTCTTTACCCTTGAAAAACCTGCTGTTTCCCAGTCCTTCTCTGGTAAATGGCAGCATAATTTAGCCAGTTGGATAAATAGATAATGAATTACCCATTGCTCAGGGCAACATAGATCCTGAATGCAGCTGCTTCTCAGCGCTTCCACCACTACTTCCCTGTCTAAGCCACCACCATCTCTTTATACAGACTACAGCAACATCCTCTTAACCAGTCTCCCTGTTACCACCTTAGGTCCCCCACAATCTCATGAGTCATCTTTAAAAAATGTAAATCCGACTGAAAAGTCTTCTGCATTAGAAAGAAGAAATGTGAAGAAAGAAGAAATGAGATAGAAATAAAAAATATATCATCATAAAGTAAACAAATAAAAAAAGTGTATCAGATATAATGATGTCAGTTATCTGTTCAAAATTCCGAATGGTTTTCTATTTACCATCGACCGTAAGGCCTTAACATAATCTACTCATCTCACTGAATTCACCTCCTGTTACACTTAGTCTCTTTCACTCTGTTCCCCTACAATGTTCTTCTTGGAATAAGACAAGTTTATTACTACTTTGGGACTTTTTTCTTGTTTCCTCTCATAATCCTTCTTCCTCCAGACTTTAGAATGGCTTGCTCCCTCATTTACTTTAGGTCTCAGCTCGAATCTTACCTTCGTAAAAATATACACTTGACTTCCCTAACTAAAAATTCAGCCTTCTTCATCTCTACTTCCTTACGTGCCTTATTGTCTATAGCACTCATTGATTGATTGATTTACATATTTATTTATTCATCCATTTGAATATAAGTTTGCTAGAATGTAGGCTCCACAAGCACAGAAATTTTTCTAGACTCACGATTATATCCTTGTGCCTAGAGCAGTGCCTGGCCCATAGATGTTGGCTCCCTGAATATGTGTTCAATAAATGCAAAAATGCATGCATGAATGATCTTTGCCACAACAATATAAGTCAGGTAGTATCCCTATTGTACGACTGACAAGTGACTTGGGAATATCCAGCAGCTTGTCTAAGTTCTATAGATAGATGATGGTCCTGTCTTTCCAGAATCTAAAAAGTCTATATGATTCTATTAAACCACACACGGCCTACGAGTTAGAAAATCAAGCTTCCTATCCTGGCTATTTAGAAAATTTTCTGTGTAAACATGGACAAATTGGAAAACCTGCATTTTCTAAGCCTTGTTATACTGATCATGTAAGTGATAACAAGGGGTTTTCTAAAATCTCCAAGGCCCTTGCCAGCTTCATTATTTAAATAAATATAAAATAATTCACACTCACGAGATAATCGTTGTTATAATATTTGAATTTTGCCTTGGGGCAAAGAATGCCTGAGAAAATAATGAAGATGTACAGCCCAGTGGTCTCACATTTACCCAGCAGAGTCCCCGTCAATCTTTCTTTTCCTTGCCAGGTAATTTCTGTATTTGCTAAGTAGCTGCTGCCCTTGTCCTTGCTACTTCTCTCTTTCTGGGTAAAACATTTAGCTCCTCTGGGCTTCAAATCTTTGTTTTGAAGGTTAAGTGGGATAATATGCACAAGACGGAAATTAAATTGCTTGTGGCTCTGCTAGTGTTATAATAAATCCTACCAATAAACAGATAAATTGGCTTGAATGGTTTTAAGTTTAATGATTGCTGTATGTAGCGCCTATCCTGGAAATATTGCTTAACTATGCAAATACAGTAAATATAGGTTCCATGTGGTTTTTCTGGAAAATAAATTAGATAAACATGTAAACTTTCACAGATTCATTAAGAGACAATAGGAATACAAGCTTGAATGTGGCTCATTGACACAATAAATCCCTTCCCTCCACGAGCCACCATTCAAATACATCTGATGTGCATCTTTTAATTTGAATATTCTTGAATAAGTCTATTGTTTTGCATGCATTTAAAAGTACAGTATTGTACTATACATCTAATTCTGCTTTTACTTTTTATCACCAGGCACTATGCTTGTCAGTGGATATTTCAAGTTGGAGGCCTTACTGTTGCTTCAAGTGCTACATGGTATTGCGGCATCCATCAGCAGTGTCCATCTATACTTTATTGCATATCTATGCACCTCGTCAGGGGAAGCATGGGAACCCTCAGGTGCTGCTGGCAGGAAGGCAAGCTGGCCTGGCCATTCTGGAGAAGAACCTGGCAGTATACTTGGTGACACTCCAGTCGCACAGCCTGTGATTTGGGTATGCGTCATGGTGAAATCTTCATTCCAGTAATTTTAAGGAAATCCAGGAGCTGGAGATGGAAACCAATGTGCTAGAACCAGGTAGATTGTATGTAGCTCACATGGGCCAACTGTTAAATTTTCAGGAGTTTGGCAAGCTGGTTTTTATCTCCCATTATTATTTAAAATAGAATTATATAAGCTTACAACTAAATAACATATATTTTTAAAAGTAATAAGTACTTAAGACACACAGTTTCTTAGTACTTTCACTGGACTGAACCACCATCTTGGCTCCTGAGGTCATGGAGGCTGCTGCATCTCCCTAGTGGAAATCCACATAGTGGTGTGCTGCTGCTGCCCGTCTCTCCCAATCCTGCGTGCAGGGATGGCCCGTTGGCAGCTTGAAAGAGGCCATGGTGGAAATAATTGCACTATGGAAATTAGCAAACCCTGTTTTGGCTAAGCCTGAGAGCTAATTGTTAAACATTTACTAGTTCACTGGAGACTGGTGTTACTCCCCTTTATAAATGAGAAGAATGCGGCTCAGATGGCTTATAAAACTTGCCAAGAACCACACAACTTGTGACTGGTGCAAATTGGATTCAGATCCAAGCCTGTCTCAGACCTTGTACTTTACTTTGACAAAAATTAGAAGTGAGTTATAACATTAAGACTATAAAATTCTCAATACTTTACCACCATCATTGCACTTATGTTTTTGTTTAAAAAAAAAAAATCTATTGGCTGCCTGTGCCTGAGTACAGTATGAAATCAAGAAGTGGCACAGTTTTTAGAAACACCTGCTTACTGATTGAGCTTCATTAACTCCTTGTGTG